TCCGTAATATTTAGGGGCTGTCCGTAATATGTAGGGGTTGTCTGTAATATGTAGGGGTTGTCCGTAATATGTAGGGGCTGTCCGTAATATGTAGGAGTTGCCCGTAATATGTAGGGGTTGTCCGTAATATGTAGGGGTTGTCTGTAATATGTAGGGGCTGTCCGTAATATGTAGGGGTTGCCCGTAATATGTAAGGGATGTCCGTAATATGTAGGGGTTTTCCGTAATATCTAGGGGCTGTCCGTAATATGTAGAGGTTGTCTGTTCCATATAGGGGTTGCCCGTAATATGTAGGAGTTGTCCGTAATATGTAGGAGTCGTTCGTAATATATAATGGTTGTCCGTAATATCGGGATGTTTATAAGGACACTGTGCTTACACTCATTCAGTGACTGTCAAAGCCTTAAAATATATTGTGTTCCTATTATTCGTTAACTAATTGTATTGGTTTGATTCATAGCTGGCGCTGCTTCGTCTGTGGAAGACACAAGTCAYGTGGGACAAGTACAGACACAAGATGCTGATGTACAGGCAACACCAGGTAGAATCACGTGATGACCAAAGTCCCATGATGCTTTGCAAGCAGTAACTTTGGAAATTAGCCCTGTGATCTTTGCATAAGAGTTTGCTACTTTGTAGAAATTAGAAAAAAGCCAACCGTTYTTAACATTTTGTAAACGAACTTTTAGGTGTTTTTTTAATGGTATTTCATTAACTTTTATTATATTTTCAACATGTCAACAGGGACTCGTCGTTATCAGAGATTTAATTAAATTATTGGGTTTTTGATTTACAGACTTGAGTCAACCCGAAGACACCCAGGCATCGGGTGGAGAAGAGCAAGAGGGCGAGGACAGTGTCCAGTCTTGGGACATGGGCGTGTCTGGACACGCGGTTGTACCCGTGACGCTGTCAACTGAACGTGAACTAGATGAATTCGAAGAAATGGTAGATGAATTATTGGAACGTGATATAAATAATCTACAAGGTGAGATTMTTGTGGTTACTCAAGACAGAGTGAAGTAGAAAGTCTTGATAAAAGGGCGTGGACTAACGTTGGGTACATTTAAACCAACTTGTATTCCCTCAGTCAGTGATTCAAACTTTTGTCTGTGTCTGATTATTTGATGACATACTAGGACGGAATGAGGCTAAAAAACAAAATAAGTACTCAATGTATAAATACCACAGGTATCCCAACTCAATAGAAAATGTTAACGATGTGTTTCAGATTCCGACGGTAACGTCCTGGCAGAAGAAATAGTCGGTGATCGACTTCTAGACGATAGTGCGCCCTCTCAGTTCATTATAGAAWCTACTGAAAGAGACAACGACAGCGACAGTGTCAGCAGTGATAGTGATGAAGGGTCTGATGGAAGTAACCATAGCGACAGTGACGACAATGAGGAAACCATGGTGATAACGTTTGATCAGAATCAGGATGAYAACGAGGACAACACACGTGATAGTCAGCAAGGTAACGTTGTGCACTCGATATTACAGTCGAACCTCCATTAAGCGGCCACCTAGAGACTGCCACTTAATATAGGTCATATATACAGTAAATGTATAGTTGAACACCGTCTTACGTTCACCCGTCTAATACGGCCACTCCGTTACATGGGGTAAGATTTTCATGTCTTTTCATACTTTTCTTCCTGCTTAAAACGGTCACCTCGTTCATACGGACACGTTCGATGTACATTCGGTGGACGGATTAACGAGATGCAACTGTACAATGAGAATCGACTTTTGGGGAATTCACGAGTGACCGCGTAATGGAGGGTGACCACTAAATGGAGGGCTGTTTAATAAACGGTCGCGACTGTATTCATCCCATCACAGTCGTTACTTTATACATGAAATGGTTTTTGCAGAAGACGATGTTGACGACGACGAAGACCGTGTCATCGTGACGACAAGAGACGACGATGCGAATGACRACCAYGAGAACGTTGTAGTTATGGGAGAAGTGGATGATGGCGACGATGACATCGAAGATGATGACGATGAGGAAGACGACGACGATGAAGCCGAGGACGAAGACGACGAAGGTGGCAGCGACATGGAAGAAGAACACGCTGACATGATGGAGGATGATTCCTTTGCGGTGTATGAAGATGATGACATGTTTTTGCGTATTAGAGATGGTAGGTGTTGTATTAGTTACCTCCAGCAAAACTTTGATACGYCAAGTCAGCCAATGATTCAAATATTACACTGTGTCTGAATACATGACGACATACTAGGACGGAATGAGGCTGAAYACTCGATTCGGTTGGTGATTGTCGGTTTTAGTKGAAAAAATCTTATCATTGATCAGTGAAGTTAACGTGATACCAGAAAAACAGACTAGAGCCTTAGTGATTCACTTTATGCGCATTAATGTGGGACGACAGGAGTGCTTTGTGCAGTAATTTCAGATTKTTCCATTTATCTCAAACACTTGCTTTTTAAGCTACATACAAAAACAGACAGTGAATATCACTATCTGGGACTTCTTTACTCGCATACAATGTTTCTCTCTCATTTTCCTTTATACAGAGGGCGGTTCGTCAAGGCTTTCTGCAGGAGAAATGCTGCTTTCAACAGTGCAAGATGAAGACTCTGATGCAGGTGTTGTACTTGGCTTGTCCGGTCAGCGTCATCGTGCACTACCAATACGACGACACAATGGCACCGCTGATGTGTTTCACTTCACTTCTGGTAAAATTTACTGTCATTACTTCAAAATGTATAACGTTTTATAATGATGGTTATTTACGTGATGCTTATTTGCTTAGCAATGTTTTTTTTTTTTCTGCAAAGCAAACAAGCTCACAAAGGTATAATGAATGTTTTTGGTGTGTGTTTTGTGGGGCTGCAAAAAGTTATAAATAGAAATCTTCATTTATGTTGAATGACTGAGCATCTTCATTCTCACCAATGGATTTCTGTATGTTTAGGAGGACATGAAACACGTCTCCTTGTTGGAGACGATGGCCAGATGCGAGAAATTGGYGACGAGGACGGTCTTTTTGTTGATGGATACAATGAATCGACATCGTTACCGTCCGCTCTCAGCAGATGGTCACAAGAAAGCCAGATACTAGACCCAGACAGCGTCCATTACTGCATTTCTGCTCTTAAACCAGATTTATTTCCCGTGTTTGAGAAACGTTTCAAYGAAGAAGTAGCTAAAGAGAAAGTSGAAGACCAGAAGAAGAAAAAGGAAGCAGAGGCMAAGGCAGCCGCTAAGAAGAAAGAGGAAGAAGAAGAAGCTCAGAAGAAAGCGGAGAATGAGGYACCCAAGCCATCTGCATCCAGCCAACAATCCACTGAAGAAATGCAGGTAGATCTGGCGTCGGTATCCAGGGAAGCTGACTTAACCGCAGACGAGTCACCAGACTCATCCGTCCTTGTTTCCATGAGCATGGACCACGGCTTAGAGATAGAAAACCAGACCTCTACGCCTAGAGAACCTCCAACGTCATCTTCTGAAGAACCCCAAAACAACCCATCAGCCTCTCTTGCAGAAGAAACTAACGCCAGTATGCCTTTAGCGTCAGCCTCCAGCGCAAACGCTGACAATCAGATTGAGCAGCCTGCGGAAGCTATGGGATCGCCGCCAGTTGGATCTCCAATGACGCTTGGTAGCGAGGCATCTGTAGCTTCTGCTGAAAGTGGTGCCCAGGGAGGTGAGAGTAATGAGGTGGACGAGACGGCGAAAGACGGTAAATTTCGTGTTTATTTTGGCTTGATTTRTTGTGGTTTGRTTTTGCTTTACTCCTCATTAGAATATAGTCACGTTATGCAATATACACTTAAAAATCTTAGTGCAGCCGTTGTTAGTAAAGAGTAGTCCTCCTCTACTATAGTCAAGCATAAAGTTTGTCTCTTATTGAAATACAAAGCTGATCTAATGGAATGRTTGTTTCCAGAAACCGCTGATGATACCAACGAATCCAACAAGGATGAATCAACAGATGCGACCCAACAGCCTGAAGCAAGCACCAGTGGTGAGAATGTTAATCTGACAATCGATGGTGTCTCTATACCAGAAGGGGTTGATCCTTCCTTCCTAGAGGCACTCCCAGAGTCTTTAAGGCGAGAGGTTCTTTCTGAACAGTTGGGACTTCGCCCTCCACCACCACCTCCGTCTCAGCCAGCAGCGGCGAGTGGTAGTGAGCCTAGCGCAATGACAGTCAGTCCTGAATTCCTGGCTGCGTTACCACCTGATGTCCAGGAAGAGGTCAGTGTTYATTAAAAACGARCAAAKTTCGTTAGCAACAAGTTTCATTTCCACTTTGTTTTACTTACAGGTTCTTCAACAACAGCGTTTAGAACAGGAACGACGGAGAGTAGCCACTGCAAATCCCGACCAACCAGTCGATCCGGGTGCATTTTTACGTAACCTTCCACCGCAATTACGCCAGACTGTTCTTGCGGACATTGACGACTCGTTACTTAATGTCTTACCAGCCGAAATGGCTACTGAAGCTCAGTCACTACGACGAGATCGAGAACTACGGCAGCAAAGACTCGTACAGGAGCGTTTCGCCTTCGGTGACCCTGCATCGGCAATATCAACATTATTGCGTCATTCGGGACTTTCTCGGAGAGCAGTCGGAGGACCTCATTTTCCACGATATTTCTCTCAAAATGCTCGTGGATTTAGTAATACTGCTCCGAAAACCAATCATAAGTACGCTGGTCGGCAGCTTCTTGACCACGAGGCTTTGGCATGTCTCGTTGTTTTATTGTTTATCGATGAACCGCGGCTTAACGTGGGACGATTGCAAAAAGTGTTTCGTAACTTATGCTACCATGAGGARACACGTCGTTGGCTTATAAACACTTTAATAGGGATATTACATAGAACTAGTGGGCTGGACGAGGATGATTCCAGCCCCAGGACAACTCCCTTTACACGGGGAGAAGCGACGTCCAGTGCTTCGACGTCATCATGTGACGTCATGTCGGACTCATCACGTCATTCTTCTTCAAGTAACATTGTGGAATACCTTTTAGAGAGAGGAGATAGCTCTACGGGAGTTAGTAAAAGTAGGCAGCCGTCATGGCTGCGTGTTTCTATCGATTCAGCATTAGGTTCGCGTACCAACGTGTTCTGCATACGCAGACACGGAAAGCTTAACATGGAYTCYAGCTCACATATTAGTATACATCGATACGCTTCACCGTTTATATGTCGGCACGTGCTAGACGCTCTGCTGTTCCTCGCCAAGCCATTTTCAACGAGTTTCATGCCTGTGTTAACTAAACCTGAAAATACGGAAAATTCTGAGTCCTCTAAAGATATTAAGCAAATCCCCAAAGCAGACTCTGATTTTTGGGATATCTTGTTAAAATTGGACGCCGTGGGYCTKGGACGAAAAGGAAAATATTCTGCCAGTTCCTCCATGCCTATCCTGGAAGGTGTTCAACCAAAGGAAGGATTTGAAAGTGCTCCTATAGGAAAGCTTCTAACGCTGCTGTCTCATTCTGTAGTATCTAAAAGCGTGCAACTCACCGACAAATTGCTACGGCTACTATCAGTGATATCAAACTCGCTTCCTACTCTTCCAACRTCGAGCAAGAAGACGACTTTGACAAGTGTTACAGCAACTGGAGAAAGCGAAGGRGAGGCACAGAGTGGACAGAACTTGGTGGTACCTCTGCCACAAGTTGTAACACCCGAAGCCGCACGTGCTGTGCCTCTTGTCCTTGAGCCTAACGAGGAGCACGTACCGACCACACATCTTACGATTCCTATATCGGAAACGGAGTCAATCGCGTCGTCGCTTGTCGCCGAGCGTTCATCGGAACCGGGCGGAGAGCATCCCGAAGTTGAATCGATTGATAGTGGTTCGAGCGACGATGTAACTGCGCACACAAGTCAAAGTGAACCAATGGTGGTCGAGGTGAATATCCCACATGATTCTAATACGGACMGAATCGATAGGCCGTCGTCACTACTGACGACCGATGTTCGATTAATWAGTAATCCCGAACTCTCACTCGTTAAACCCGAYGTTGAACAGACTGTTGTTATGGAGGGTCACCTTCGTCTTGCGGTTAATGTCTTAACTTCRGGATCTTGTTCTGAGGAAGGCTTAGAGGACGTTACAACGCTCTTATTACAAATCTCACGTCTGAATATACCAACAAGAGATGCGATCTTACGTCTGTTACTGGATGGGGCGCGTAAAATCGGCGAAGTCTTACGTAAAAACATTGCTCAGTTATATATTGAAATTGTCGAGCATAACAARGCCAATCCCTCTAAAGGTGATRCGGAWAGAGAACCTGTGAAATCCAAAAAGATGCCAAATATAGTTTTACCAGAACCACCGCGACGTCCACAGCGAACCGTACGAGGACTTTTCGGACTCCAAGAGCCRACAACCGCTGCTCCTGCTGCTGGGGGTCGAAGACAAACTGGTGCAAAACCTGTTGTGTACGAACTACACCTTCCTTCGATGCCTGAACTTACTTGTAAGAAGTCCAGTCAAGCTTTACTTTTGAAGATATTGAAGGTTATAYTACAGCTACGTGACGCGGCTAAGCGCTCAGGGAAAACCCCTACCACACGTGAACGAAGACAGCGTCGAGGAGGTAATTTGGCTGGATTTATAGCGTAGATTAGTGAAGTCAAAAAAMCCGTGAAATAGATATTACACTAATACATTGTAGTAGAGTGATCGCACTTAAACCTTGAAACTGTACAAACTGAATCATACAACAACTGTACGTGCAACTGTACAAATTCTAAGTAGTACTAGTAGTTTGTACTAAAAGTGGACCTGAAGCARGACGGTATTGAATGCTTCATTTGTATCAATTCAATTTAATTTTAAGCATTCACGATTTACTAAATACAACTAAATAGCACTATTTAGTTTGTACAGTTACACGGTTTAAGAGCGATCACTCTCTACTTTCATTTGCAAAGCAGGGCGTTTTTTTTATAAGTAGATATTAAATCAACCTCACATAAACTTTGTAATCACACGACGTATCGCTATTTTGAACATTCATTCCATTAAGGACAGCCTTTCTATCTGTTCCCTTTTTCCTTCCTGGTCCTCTTGGGAGCCTTAGTTAACAAGCCTGTAGGACAACTTTTCAAACTAATGTAATTTCAGTACCAAGTGATGTTTTAGTCACTCATCGACTRATTGAAGGTTCCCGTGGACTTGGTGCAGTTGTAGCAGCCCTGGAAGCCGAGGCAGAGGCGATCTTTGAAGTATTCTCCAGCATGAGAAGCCAACGAGGACGAGACGACGCAGATCGTGAACAGCAACAAAGTCAGCCWCAACCAAGGTCGTCTTCTGGAGAAACAGTGGCCGCTAACACAGGAGATGGGTCTGCAGAAGGACCAAGTGCTGGTACTTCTACTGAAGGTACTTGCAAGTGAAATAAAGATCAAAGTAATGATTTAAACGTTACTTCAACTTAATTGTTTTTTTACTTAGTTGAGCGTTCGGCTCACCGAGCCATTATCAAGACTGACGATAAGCGTTAAGGCTGATTTACACGGTACGGTTTGTCGCGCGCGACTTGTAGTATACGATTTTCCTACTACAATTCGTAGGATTTTAAGCAGTGTTTCAAAAACCTACTACAAGTCGTAGGTTGCGTACGACTGTTGTAGACAAGTCGTAGGGGCATTTACACTGCGCGATTCAAGTCGTATACTACAAATCGCACGAGACAATCGTGCCGTATAAATCAGTCTTTATAATTTACAAAAGAACATAAAAACAATGAGCGCGCGCTCCGAGAAGATTACGTTTTCATTTTAAAAGATATATCATTAATATTCATCCAAATGGTACTGATGGTAATTTAATAATTAATTGATAATTGGTTGAACTCGAACACTTCACAGTCAGTATTGAACTGAAGAGTAATTTATTGAACAGGTACGACTCAGCCACCCGAACCTGCCCTGCCATTACTAAGCGAGCAGTTATCACTCGATGACTTGTGGGATACTTTGGGGGAATGTCTAACGGAGCTGGCCAAAACGACGGACAGCCACGCCGTCCTTGTGTTGCAACCAGCTGTGGAGGCTTTCTTTCTTGTTCATGGTTCTGAGAAGACTACGCCACCCGCACAGACCCCATCGGCCGCAGATGCAGCACCGCGCACATCGTCTAGCTCRGAGATGCTRCCTCCCCCKTCCCCTGTGCTTACATCCCCCGGTGCGCTTAGCCCCAGCAGACAGGTTTCCATATCATCGGTGACATCAGATTTGCCTACAGACACACAGAAGTTCTTGAAGTTTGCAGGTAAGTTATTGTTTAAGGACTACTATTTTAAGTAACTAAGTAGATCCAAATGTAGGAGCACAGTTGTAGTGAAATTCCACTTCCCCTTATCAGACTCGGATGAGAAATGCTCTTCCATGTGCGACCGCATCGATATTCTTCGATAAGTCTTGTTTTTATCGTAACCAAAATTTCCTTTACCAGAAACCCATCGCACCGTACTAAATCAAATTCTACGGCAAACTAACGTGCACCTCTCAGATGGTCCCTTTGCCGTCCTGGTCGACCACACACGGGTATTGGACTTCGACGTTAAACGACGGTTTTTCCGACAAGAACTCGAACGCGCCGACGAGGGAATCCGAAGGGACGATCTACCGGTTCATCTCCGACGAGATCACGTATTCGAAGACTCTTACCGAGAATTACATCGTAGAAATTCCGAAGAGTGGAAGTCTAGATTCTACATTGTCTTTGAGGGCGAAGAGGGACAAGATGCTGGTGGGCTTTTACGAGAATGGTACCTTATCATGTCTCGTGAAATGTTCAACCCTAATTACGCTCTTTTYACTACCTCTCCTGGGGACCGTGTGACGTATCAGCCGAATCCCAGCTCCCATTGCAACTCGAATCATTTGAGTTACTTTAAGTTTGTTGGACGCGTTGTTTCGAAG